GATAAGCTGGCCAAGGATGCTTGAGGGTTTGATGGTGGATAACACATGGATGAGCTTCAACAATTGTACATCCCTATCTGGTGTGAGAGTAAAACAGGGAAGGTGGCTCAACCATGGCTAACAACGTAAATCTGGGAGAGTGTTAAAACCAAAGGGGAGGCATGTAAATTGGTCAGAAAAAGCAGAAAACCTGAGGACTAGCTGAAATTTAAGATTCAGCAGAGGAGGACAAAGGGTTTAATTCGGAAGGGGAAAATAGAATATGAAAGTAAGCTTGCGGAAAATATAAAAACACAGTGCAAAAGCTTCTATAGATATGTGAAAAGAAAAAGACTGGTGAAGACAAACGTAGGTTCCTTGCACTAATAATCAAGTGAATTCATAATGGACAATAAAGCGATGGCAAGCCAGTTGAACAAAGGCTTTGGATTTGTCTTCACCTAAGGAGGACGCACATAACCTTCAGGAAATACGAGGAGGACAGAGGGGTCAGGCATGAAAAAGAAACTGAAGGAAATCCTTATTACTCAGGAAACAGTAATGCAGAAATTGATAGGATTAAAACCTGATAAGTCCCCAGGGCCTGATGCTCTACATCCCTGAGTACTTAAGAAAGTGGCTGTAGAAAAGTGGACACATTGGAGATCGTTAATATTCCATAGACTGTGGAAGAGTTCCAATGGAGTGGAGGTTGGCTAATGTAACCCCACGCTTTCAAAAGAAGAGAGAGAGAAAATGGGCAGTAGCCTGACATCGGTGGTGGGGACAGTAAGTAAATTATTAAGGATGTAATAACTGAGCATTTGGGAAAGTATTGGCAGAATTGGTCCTAGTCAACACGGATTCACTAAAGGGAAATCATGCTTGATAAATCTTCTGGAATACTTTGAGGATGTAACCAGTTGGGTGGATAAGGGTGAATCAGTAGGTGTTGTATATCTGGACTTTCAAAAGGCTTTTGACAAGGTTCCACAGAAGAGATTACTAAGAAAAATTAAAGCTCATAGTATCAGAGTTAAATAATTGACATGGATAAAGAGCTAGTTGGCAGACAGCAATCACAGTTGGAATTGATGCTGGAAGTGATAAGTGGGGTATCACATGGTTCAGTGATGACACCCCAGCTGTTCACAATATACATATTAATGATTTGGACGAAGGAATTAAATGCCATTTCTACAAATTTGCAGATGACACGAAGCTGGGTGGCGGTGCGTGCTGTGAGGAGGATGCTAAGAGGCCGTAGGGTGACTTGGATAGACTGGCTGAGTGGGCACATACCTGGAAAATGCAATATAATGTAGATAATCGTGAGGTTATCCACTTTGCTCACAAAAGCAGTAAGGCAGATCATTATCTGAATGGTGGCAGTTTACGAAAAGGTGAGGTGCAACGAGACTTGGGTGTCATGATGGAAGAATTGCTGAAGGTTGGCATGCAGGTGCAGCAGGCAGTGAGGAAAGCTAATGGCATGCTGGCCTTCATAGTGAGAGCATGCAGGTATTGGAGTGAGATTGTCTTGTTGCAGTTATACACGGCCTTGGTGAGGGCACACCTTGAGTATTCTGTGTGGTTTTGCTCTCCTAGTCTGAGCAAGAACATTCTTGCTATGGAGGGAGTCCAGCGAAGGTTCACCAGACTGATTGCCGGGATGGCAGGACCAGACGTATGAGGAAAGATTGGATTGACTGGGTTTGTACTCACTGGAATTGAGAAGAATGAGGGGGTTCTCATAGAAACACAAAACCCTGATGGGATTGGACAGGCTAGATGCAGGAAGAATGTTTCCAATGTTGGGGAAATTTAGAACTAGGGGTCACAGTCTTAAGAATAAGGGGTAAGCCATTCAGGATTGAGATGAGAGAGAATTTCTTCATTCAGAGTTGTGAACCTGTGGAATTCTCTCCCAGAGTAAGCTGTTGGGGCCAGTTGTTAGAGATATTCAAGAGGGAGCTGGATGTGGCCCTTGCAGCTAAATGGATCCAGGGGTGTTGGGAGAGGACGGGAATGGGATACTGAGATTGCACAATCAGCCATGTTCATATTGAATGGTGGGGCAGGCTCCAAGGGCCGAATAGCCTACCCCTGACCTATTTTCTATGTTTCTATGTCAAGGACAGTCACGTTCATGTAATCTTTGGCATTCAGCTCATTTGCCCATGTTTCTGGACCAAGGCTATAATGAGATCAGGACCTGAGTGGTTCTGACAGAACCAAGCTGAGCATCAACGAGCAGGTTCATTGCTATTTGGTGGCACTGTTCATGATCCCTTTCATCACTTTACTAATGATCAAGATTAGATTCCTGGGTTTAGAACATAGAACATAGAGCAGTACAGGCCCTTCGGCCCATGATGTTGTGCCGAACTTTAACCCTAAACCTAAGGTCTGTCTAACCTTCACCCCTACCTTACGCTATCATCCATATGCCTATCTAATAGCCGATTAAATGCCCCTAATGAGGCCGACTCCATTACCCGCTCCGGCAATGCATTCCACGCCTCTACCACTCTGAGTAAAGAACTTACCTCTGACATCTCCCCGATATCTACCTCCACTCACTTCATAACTATGCCCCCTCATAATAGCTATCTCCACCCGAGGAAAAAGTCTCTGGCTATCCACTCTGTCTATACCTCTGATCATTTTGCACACCTCTATCAAGTCACGTCTCATCCTTCGTCGTTCTAAAGAGAAAAGCCCTAGCGCGCTCAAGCTTTCATCGTAAAACCTTCCCTCCATTCCAGGCAACATCCTGGTAAATCTCCTGTGCACCTTTTCCAACAATTCCACATCTTTCTTGTAATGAGGCGACCAGCACTGGACACAATACTCCAGATGTGGCCGAACCAGGGTTTTGTAGAGCTGGACCATAACTTCACGGCTCTTGACCTGAATCCCTCTATTAATGAAAGCTAACACACCATACGCCTTCTTAACAACCCTATCCACCTGAGTGGCAGCTTTCAGGGAACTGTGGGCATGAACGCCAAGATCCCTCTGCTCCTCCACACTGCCAAGAATCTTTCCGTTAACCCTGTATTCCGCTTTCAAGTTTGTCCTTCCAAAATGAATCACCTCACACTTTTCAGGATTAAACTCCATCTGCCACTTCTCAGCCCAGCTCTGCATCCTATCAATGTCCCTTTGTAACCTAGAACAGCTCTCCGCATTATCCACAACTCGATCCACCTTCGTATCATCCGCGAACTTATTAATCCACCGTTCCACCCCTACATCCAAATCATTTACAAACATCACAAATAGAAGAGGACCCAGAACAGATCCTTGTGGTACACCACTCATAACTGAGCACCATGTTGAATATTTTCCGACCACTACCACCTTTTGTCTTCTAAGGGTCAGCCAATTCTGGATCCAGTCTGCCACATTTCCCCCCATGCCATGCGTCCTTACTTTCTGCATGAGCCTACCATGGGAAACCTTATCAAATGCCTTACTTAAATCCATGTATACCACATCCACTGCTCTACCTTCATCCGCGTGTTTGGTCAACTCTTCAAAGAATTCAATAAGATTTGTGAGGCATGATCTACCCCTCACAAATCCATGCTGACTATCACGAATCAAACTGTGCCTATCCAAGTTATCATAAATCCTATCTCTCAGAGCCCTTTCCAATAATTTGCCCACCACTGAAGAAAGATTAACTGGCCTGTAATTTCTGGGATTATCCCTATTCCCTTTTTTGAACATGGGAATGATGTTTGCCACTCTCCAGTCTTCCGGCACT